AGGTACTGCCGCCACCGTGACGTCAGTAGCCCAAGCTTTTGCCAGTTTCAACAGAAATGCTTTGTATTTCAAAGTAGAATTTCTGTTCACCTTTTTGAAAACCGTAAATGAATTGAAAATTGCACAGTTTATAAGCCACAGTGCAACTTTCTTCGTCCATTTTACTGTTTTCTCAGGAAGGGAATAATAGGCCAAGAACTGGTCGGCCCTATCAACTCCTTTCATGAACATATTATACTCGGAAATACAAAGTGGCTTCTTTACTTGCCCATGTTGTCTTTGAACATCGACCATGCTCGAATTGTGAATAGTGGAAACCATATTCACAACGCGAGTATTCCTTCAGGACTGAAGAAGGATGTCCTCCTTCCTCCTCAATGCAGTGTCGCCACGTTTCAGGCATTTACATTCCTCTTTCAGATCTGGAGGGAGGCCTCTGTTCACCCTAATTGTACCACAAATACGTACTTTCCTTGAAAGTAGGTATTGCTGTCCCGACACTCGCACTTTCAACGGAGCTCTCACTTTCACTTGACACATTTTGGGCAGCCCTGTGGCCCCCGTCACTGTCACTGTCACTGATAATGGTCTCACTATCAGAAGACGAAGCAGTTGGCAAATCTGATAGCTCATTGGAGAACATATCTAATATTTCCTGTCCTCCGAGAGATCGCAACTGCTTTCGTCTCTGAACCATGTTGAATTGGTAGCTGCGTGGTTGATATGTGCATGCTTGGATTAGAACAAATCCAGTTTTGTTTAGGTTGTGACAGGAAATGACTCTGGTCGAGTTATTAGATAAGGCAGCAATCATTCCCGAGGTCATCTACGCAGTAGTTACGATTCAACGAAGGCACACAGTGATATATAGCGTTTTGCAACATAACATGACCATAGAGTGCCATATGGCCCACCCGGTCCGCAACGCTTGGAAACGTAGAGGTCCATATGGCCCCTCTGGTCCGCAATGTGTTAAAAACCAGGACGATGGATAAAGTCCAAAAACCCAATATATCAGTGTGTTATACACCATCGTCAAAATCCTATAGTAACTACTATGCAAATCCAATTTAACAATGCAATCGGAAACGTTGAAATTGAATTGTAAAATATTTAGTATAGCGTGTGTTGCTTTTATGTCCAACAGATGGCGCTGTTTTTCAAAAGAAGCATGTTTTTACTTGTCACATGTTTGACATCTATGTAATAGGTATATAAAAACGCGCGTATTCTAATGCAATGTTGTGTCAAAATTTCAAAGCAATCGGTGAAGATCTTTTGGGGATTTAAGATTTAGAACAAATGAACATTTACATTTTTATTTATATAGAAGATAGTGCAGTCGCATATTATGCAAATTTGAAATTGTGCTATGTAGAAAATGTTAATGAAGTCTGACTTGATGGACAAAGTTTAAAATAATGGAACTCCAAGAAATTTATCAAGAATCACATGTGTTTCAAAACTTTTCTTGAATTATAAGAGGCTTTCAGGAATTCATCCATCACATAAAATGCAAACCTACCATACTGTATACTTGTTTATGTCAGGGCAGATAGATCCTTGACACAGAACAAGTGGACTCAAGGGGTGATGCCCAAGTTGACTCTCATTTGTGATGCTATCATGATGAGTTTTCTATTGTTGCTTCCTGTTCTTGTAGACAGATATTCAGATAGCACCTTAAAAATTAAGCCAATTAGTACTTCCTTCTCTGTCCTTTCCAATTCATCATTCACTAGCATCCAGTCATTCAGTGCTATATACTTCTTTGTATATGCACACTATTGAAGTGTCCAGTAATTTCAGATGTTTTATATGCAGTGAATAAAATTAATGAAGAATGCTATATGTCTCTTTGTCTTGTCCCCCCCACTTTTTTTTTTGTCTGATGGTTTTGGATGGATTTTTGTTGTATGAGCCCTTCAATAAAAGTTGTTAGCAAAATGCTGGTTTGTTGTATCCATTTTTGTACATAAGGGCATTAATGTTTTTTAGGAAACAGAAAACAAATTGATTTAAATATACAAAATGCCTGTGAATGCTGTAAGTGTTTTGTATCTTCATCATCAGTTACTGTTTTTTTTTGTCTTACCCTACAATATGAAATAATTTCCTTAGCACTGATTCTCTTTTCTGACCATTTATTGATTGACCATATTTCTAACATGTAAGAAAATGCTGTACACATGTAGTGTGTATTGCAACCACAGAGAAACCGAATTCCAATAACTGACAGTGAGTAGTGCAGTTGTCCGCAAGTGCACACACACACACAGACACACACACACACACAATTCTTCACTGTGATCGTATGTTTTCCCTTATCTGCTGTAATTTTTATATTTCAGCATTCTAGATGCCCACGTGTTATCAAGTGTGTGCCTCTTGGTTATAGGTCCATCAGTGCTGGAGATTATCAACTCTCTATTAAGTCACCTTCGTGTGTCAGTTACTCGTGAGGTCCCTTCAGATGAACCTCAGGCCCAGCATGATGAGAAATTGTATCAAGAAGCACTTATCAATGCACTGGGAGAGTTTGCAAACCATCTGCCAGACTACCAGAAGATAGAGATTATGATGTTCATCATGAGTAAAGTTCCTTATCCTTCACTTGATCATCTCCGAGGATTTAATGGTCCAGGAGATGTAATGTTGCAAAATATTTTACTCAAGTCATTACTAAAGGTACTTATTCCATTGAGGAACTGCTTATGCTTGCAGTGAAATGCCCCAGTTAAAATTTCCCATATTTATTGCTGTCCCTCTTTTAATATTCAGTCTCAGTGATTCCAAGTCAGTGTAAGTTGAGTATTAAATTTTCTTCATTTAAATTTCCCCTTAATTTAATGCTGAGATCTGTTCCTCCCCAAAGGATCCTTAAATGACGATTTTGCTGTAACGGAGACCAAAGTGTAACCCTTTTGCTTTAAACTGGAGATAAGAGGATGGCTCAAAGAGGTGTACAATTATTTATGTAGTAGGTAACAGCCTTGCCTTCATATTTTATTTAGCTGGAGGATATCGTTCCTTTCATCATCTATATTTGTCTGTATTAAAAGACAGGTCAAGCCATATTTTGATACTGCATATTTTTCTGTCAGTATTTTAATCTGTTTTCCTTAATAACATATAACCTTTATTGTAAGGAGGAGGAAACAGAATTTCTATATTCATATTCAGTTGTGTTAAGTATTTGTATATATATTGTCACATGTTTTGTGTGTCACGCGACAAATAACTTTACGTGGGCCTCAGATTTAGCGACTCTTTATTGGACACTCACACCTATACACCATACAATTATCACCTTAACTGTATTCCGCGGCGGCTACCTTCCAACCGTCTTGTATGGTGACTAGATCTCAACTAACTTCAGCAGCAGCTTCCTGAAGACTGACTTCTGTATCTCTTGGCGTCTATCCTGAGACTCCTCGGCGAATGCATTCAACCCCTTTTTATAACCTCGGCCGCCGCTATGCAAACGACCCTCTGTTGTCTATCACCAGGGATACGCTTTGTTGATACTGCAATACCTATGCCACGGCCAACTGTTGGGGCTACAATACCGCTATTGTCGCTACCTACGCAATGGTCTGTTCTAGCGTTACTATGGAAGTGTCTTCTGGATTCCGAACATGTGACATTGCTCCCTTCTAAAGGTTGTCTCCGAACAGCCTAAAGGTTCTCCCTTGGTTTCGTTTCCTAAGGTGTTTTGCTGGCAACGTCTGCATTGGTCATCCAACCGCATCCGCCCCTCTCTTCAGTGATGCTTGGCCCAAGCACTGTCATGGTCCAGAATTTGTTGGTCGCCTTGCCTCACATTCATACCTCGCTTTCATCCTTTCCTCATTCATTCTTGCTAGGGAGGCCGGTGCTTCTATTACCAGTTCCTTCCATGCGGGCCGTTTTCTTTCTTCTTCTTTGGAGGGGGTCGACCCCTCCACAGTATCCAATCTTTGTTTTGTCGTTGGCTGACAGAAGAGTTGGCTATATGCTTCTCGATCTCTAATCCAGTCGTCTTCCTGTATGTCCTGTTAGATTCTTTCTTTTCCAGTCTTGGCTGCTGTCTTCCACTCCATCCTCCTATACCATTTGCGGTTTTCCTCCCTTTCCTCGGATATAGAGGCCCTTCTACATCTCGGCTCCTTACGCCCTTGCTGCATTCCAGTTTTGGCTGATGTCTCCTCCCAGACGTGTATCCTGTTGCGTTACCCCTCAGTATGCTGTCCCTGACCCAGTTCTTTCTGGGGATCCTGTTGCGCCATGCTACTCTGGCACAGAAGGTCATCCCCTTGCTGGCGAATCCCAACCTCTCGTGGGGTCCACACTTTTTCTGGGTGGTGTTCCTGAAGATGTCTATCTTGAGTTGTGCCACATTCACCCCACGTGTTGTCCTTCTGTGGTCGATGGCCAATTCTTTGTGGGGCCCACAATTTTTCCACATCAAGTTTTTCGGTATCTGGTGGCTGTGCTCTGCAGCCAGTTTTCGGTCCCTGTGCCTTTTCTTCTTCGGTTCCCCGACCGGCATTACTTCAGTGTCTACTTTGGGGACATCTTCCTGTGCCTCCATCTCTTGGCAGGCAGTTGTCTCTGTGTCCTTTTTGGGTTTGACTACTTCCCGCGCGGCTTTTCTGTCCACTTCGCGTTTGAGTTCAGCCACCGTCTCTTTGTGGCTATCGTTGCCCCACTTGTCTGTCATGGCGGCCATTTCCTCTCACCATGCTTTCATTTCTGCCTTCATCTCTCCTTGGCCCACTAACAGACATTCTAACATCTGTCGTATGTCCATTTTTCCATGTGGTATTTTCGTGTTTTAAGTTCGATGTTGTTGGTCACCTGTGTAAGTCCAATCTTTTAATTTCGTCTCAGAATCCAAATTGATCCTACTTCTGACACCAGTTGTCACGTGTTTTGTGTGTCATGCGACAAATGATTTAGCGACTCTTAATTGGACACTCACACTTATACACCAAACAATTATCACGTTAACTGTATTCCGCAGCGGCTACCTTCCAACCGTCTTGTATGGCGACTAGATCTCAACTAACTTCAGCGGCAGCTTCCTGAAGACTGACTTCTGTATCTCTCGGCGTCTATCCTGAGACTGTCTTGGCGAATGCATTCACCCCTTTTTATAACCTCAGCTGCTGCTATGCAGACAACCCTCTGTTGTCTATCACCAGGGATACGCTTTGTTGATACTGCAATACCTACGCAATGGCCAACTGTTGGGGCTACAATACCACTATTGTCACTACCTATGCAATGGTCTGTTCTAGCGTTACTATGGAAGTGTCTTCTGGATTCAGAACATGTGACAATATAAGATCTAAAAGTTTGTGATGATGGTAAATTGTTACAATTAATATGTTGCTGGACATTATCCATCATCTTGTCTGTTCTAAAAAAAACTTTCTAGCTCTGTCTATTGGACCAAACTGAGTAGGTTTTACCTGAAGACGGGGACAGATTCCGGGGACAGATTCCAGTTCCCAAAACGTTGTTTTTTTTAATAGAAACTAGACGGTTTTTTTAGAACAGACAAGATGATGGATAATGTCCAGCAACATATTAATTGTAATGTGACAATATATATATATAAAATCAAGTTGGTTTGTTATGTCAAGGAAGTTCATATGTGATATTTTTTTCAGGTTGGCACAAAGTATCAGACAATACACTTCAATACTACTTTCCCAATGTCTTTCCTAGAGCCTTTGCTTCGCATGTCATTGGCTGAAGACCCTGATATGCGTCTGCTTGTACAGAAAATCCTACATACGCTGATTGATCGTCACCATAACTTAGAGAAGTTACTTAAACCTACGTATGTATATTTGAAATCAGTAATTTTGCATTATTTGCAATGTAGCAACCATTACTGTTGTCTATCATGGACTGTTTGTTTTTTCTTTTTTAATTCACTCGGTGATGGGTGGAGTTCAGTTGGGTCCACTCAGCATGGTGGCCACTGATTGGCCTATTGTAGCCTGCCCCAGATGATTATGATGATGGAGAATTTGGTGGAATGAAGATTGGCAGGGGAAACCGAAGTACTCGGAGAAAACCTGCCCCAGCGCCACTTTGTCTACCACAAATCCCACTTGACCAGACCCAGGATCGGACCTGGGCCACCGCAGTGGGAAGCCAAAACATAACCTCTTGAGCTGTGGCACAGCCACTGGGTGTTTGTTGATAGGATATGATTGAAAATGACATGTTTTTGAAGCAGAGAATGACAAATTGTTTTGAATATGTTCAATTTAATTCAAAATTAAATCTCATGAACAATTTAAGGTACAGTTAGGCTGCAGGTATTTTGAAAACGTAAATTTGTATGAAAGGCTGTCTGCTGTAAATTATAAATTCTTATGTATTAGTAAGGTCGAATAGGTATTGAAATCTTCACATGGTTGGAAACAGTTAAAGACCCAAATAGAATATAGAGCAACTACTATAACACTGGTTGAGAATTCGGCAGGAAGTCTCATCATTTGTTATATAAGTTTCTGTATTGCTAACTTCTCTTGAATTCCATTCCAGTCCTACATGTTATTAAGTGACATGTCAAGGGCAGTGTCTAATGCTCTCTCAGATAAAGACATGCAGAAATAGACTGCTGCAAATTGTCTTCTTTATATAGTATGCTACACCTCACATATCCTTATCAATATATTATTAGTACCCCCTGAATAGAAGTGATATACTGAAATGAACTACTGCTCACTCATTTGTGACCTACTCCATAACTTACATACATGAAACACGTTAATGCTAAGCAGTTTGTTACCATGGTAACCCAAAATTTAGTAATTCTACAGCATTAATTTCACTGCTACGTTAATTTTTGTGTATATAGAAGGACATGTCTGTGAATATTAGGATTTATATTCTTATTTACAATAGAAGCTTTGCCAAAATAATCCTAACAATTTCATGAATTGATGTTAACTTACACAGGATTGATGGAAGTGTTAGAGACTATTTCAAAACATGAGTGTATATTATTTGAGATTTGTTATTCTCACATTGGTGACTATGAAGATTACTCTTGTCTAGGATGTGATACTATGTCATCTGCTAATTGCTACTAACATTTTAGGGAGGAACATGCAAACACCATGTTTAGATTAGATGAGGCATGAAACTGTGAACATGGAAGGATCATGTTTCTGTGAACATTGGTAACAATCTACCAGACTACATGGTGTCATATTCCTGAAAACATTGGTATTCATAATATTGACTACATATTGCAGAGCATTTAACTTGTAGTCTGTAATATACCCAGGTAGCTTGCATTATCATTCTCTACATAACAGCAACTGCAGTAATATACATTGTCTTTCATAAAAATTGGACAGATCATAGGGAGATCAGTACTCATTAGATGAGTTCTCATCAATTCTTTTTTGTTCAGCTTGCTATAGATGTAGTGTTAATTGTATTGATGACACTGTTGAAACTTTCAGATAGCTGATGCATGCTGCAGGATATGTTGTATCAGTATTCTCATATTTTCTCAAATATTCCACATCTTAATGTAAACAATAACCACTAAAGTAATGCTAACATAAAATTCATGAAAAACAAATATGTAAGGAGTTACATGTTGACTCATTTTTAGTGTAAATATTGGGGACCTGGAACTTGTACTAGAGAAGAGTTCCCGCCAGGACATCATTTTTATCCGAAAACATGGTCCAGAAATTTATCGTAGCCTGTATGAGAGTTTGGAGCAGGCAAACAATACAGTGGAGAACATTGAAGCAGTGTATACAACACTTGCTTTGCTGTGTGTTGAGTTATCGTCTGAAGAAACAGTTATGGAGATGCTGCGTCTTGTCATCAGCATTCAGGTATTGTAACTCCTCCTCCTTGTGCATTTCAAACATTGTCTTCAGTTCATATAGGCCTACTAGCAAAGTCCCTTGTAGAGTCACTTGTCTTTTATTACCACTAATACTTTGCAAGTCAGTGTACCCTGCCTTTCCAAATAAGGTCATGTTTGCGAACACGTGTACTTGAAGTATCTGAAACAAAAGTTGAAGGAAATGAAGAAAGCTATGAACAGTTGAATGAAAAGTTACACATAAGTAAATAAGAGTGATGAGTTCAAAATCTCAGCAGTTCTTCCCATGAGCTGGCTGTACATCCTTGACCACCAGCATATTGTTGGTTCCAGCTTCAGAAGTGGTTGGAAGTGGATGCGTGAGCCACAACAGAGGGTAAATATTGTGCATTACCACTGAAGAGGAGGCGTAGTGCTACAGAGAAACTGGAAACCAGGCTTCATAAACTTGTAAAGCGTTGCTCTTATAGATAATCTTTCCTACTTAAACATGGCAACCAATTTTAATATTTTAAGTAATAGTAATACCAGGGTTCTTTTCAGTTTTTTAAACCTATATAGTGAAGTACTTTCAGTGATCAGTTATGGCAATGTGACGCTGGTGTCTGATGTTTCAGAGGCAGTCTCTGTCTCCATCATCAGTGATCGCTGAAACATCAGACACACCTCCACATTGACACAGCTGGGAAGGCTTCTTATGTATTGTAATAGTAATAGCTCCCAATCATGTATTCTTGTACCTATGCCCTTTACAGTAATTACAGTCAAAATCACTGATAATGTCACATGTAATATGTACTTACAAAAATGTGTCTTCTAATACCATTCATGTACTGACACAAAACTTCCCAGAAATGTACCTAAATGAAAATGTTTTTGGGAAAACTTGTTTGATACTTATTTTGGTAAATTAGGTCAAAGTCAAGTATGCCACAAAGGGCATACTGAATCAAAATTTTATTTAGACACGTTAAACAGGTACACGACTAAGACTGATCGCTTGATCAGAGTCAGTTATTTACTGATAAAAATTAAGAGAAAATTGTAAAATTGTAATAATATTGTCATATGTAGGATGGTACGCCTGACGAAATGATGGGTTCTAGTTCAGATGATTGGATTTATTAGCTTTTTGGTTACAGTCTCTCATAATTACACTTAAATACAGGCAATTCAGTGCTATTGCTAATTTACACTTTATAATTCACTGTTACACACACACTAGTTCTCTGCTGCTAGTGCAATTAAAACACAGGAACTAGTGCTTCAAATTGCTACAAATGTTACACATAAATTCTTCCTGTCACACTTTAAATCCTTGCAGGCTGTACTCCTGGTTCCACTTTGCTCCATTCAGCTTACTGCTTACTTCAGAATTCTGTTCACTTTTATAGGTGTGGGACAGACAGTGCATCACCATAAACACATATCACGTGATCACTATCCACTACTGTTGTGTGATGTCACAGTGCATGTGTTGCATAGTAATGGACCATCCATGGACACAGAAAACACTGTTCCTGTACTGTTGGCCACATGTGTGTTGCAGCCATTGTCTGGCAACAGCTAATGTTTACAGATTCACTGCCTAGCAATAGGTCTATACACCACAATATACTGCAGCATCCTGTTGCACTGTGTATTCTACGAGGGTAAGTCAATAAGCAAGTTACAAATGGATATAGAACTTAAACAAATAAGAGTACTATTTTGAAAAATGCTTTTATTTTTCAACATAATCTCCCTGTACATTGAGGCACTTGTCCCATCGTTTCACAAGCCCCTGAAAACCAGCATAAAATTCTTTGGGGTGCTGTCAGAACCAGGCGGTGACTTCCCTTTCTGCAGCTTCATCGTCGAGAAAATGATCAGCTGAAAGATGATGTTCAAGTGGGCCGAAGAAATGGAAGTCGCTTGGAGCAAGGTCAGGGCTATACAGACTATGCTCGAGGACTTCCCACTTGAAATTTTGCAGCAACTCATTTGTCTTGTTGGTAGCATGGGGACACACATTGTCATGCAAGAGCAACACACCTCTGCTGAGGAGTCCTGGTCGCTTCTGTTGAATGTCCTTTTCCTGAGGATGTTATGTGTACATAAATGCAGACTCCTACTGTAACATCCTCAGGATGTAAATGTTCCCTTTAAAGGGAAGTCACCGCCTGGTTCTAACAGCAGTCCAAAGAATTTTATGCTACTGGTTTTCAGGGGCTTGTGAAATAATGGGACAAGTGCTTCAATGTACAGGGAGATTATGTTGAGAAATAAAAGCATTTTTCAAATCAGTACTCTTGTTTAAGTTCTATATCCATTTGTAACTTACTTATTGACTTACCTATGTAAATTATCACTCTTACTTCTCACCATCCCAATGCAACTTCATGGATGTATTAAAATTCACTGTTTGTCTCTTCCTATTATTCGAACACTGCGTGTTTCAGCCCAACTGGTCATCATCAGGTATACAAGTTGTACAGGAAACTGCTGTCCCATTCTCATGCTGCTACACTTTGCATTATAAAGATGTAAAATACTGTCACATGTTGGGTGTGTCACACGACAAATGACTTCACACTGTATTGGATATAGCGAATTTATTCCACATTCGCTCTTACATTTACACAATTCACAGTTTCACAATTACTGCCATCTGCAGTTTCACATATACTCGTACTTCTCCTGAAGTCATTTCCATTCACTTGATACAACTCGACTCAGCGACTGCTAGACTGCAACTGACTGGTTACTCCCTCTCACTGATGAATACTCCTGTTAGCTTCCGCACTGACAACACAGAAAACAGTTATGTGACAGCTTTCACTGTCGCTGACATTGTGTTTACCGATTGCCTAGCAACATTCGCTACATGGGCTCCCCTGTGCGTGACGCTGTGTTTACAAAGGTGTTGCTGGGCAATGCTGTGTAGCAACCAGCATGCTTCGGCTCGGCTTGGCTTGGCATGGACAAACACCACTTTCTTTACTGTTGTGTAACTTGGCAATCGACCGTTTATCAAGGGTCTGTCTTCGTGGTAACTCGTTCCACCTCCTGATGCCCAGCAATGGTTAGACATGTCACACTGCTCCCTTCTTAAGGCTGTTCGCCCCAAATAGCCTAACAGTGCATCACTGGTCCTTTCCTTCTGAGGCTATGCTTGCAATGTTTTCTTTTTTTGTCTGGCTCGGTGTTTCCTTTTTTCCCAGTGTCCATTCTTCAACCACTACATCCGCTTTCTTCTTAAGACCAGCTCTCTCAAGTGGTTTCCTGTTAACTTGTCAGGAGGTCCAGTTGTATCACATTCATCCATCGCACATTCACTCTCTCTGGGGAGGCTGGTATTTCTACATTACCAGTTTCTCCTCTGCTTGAAGTCTCTTTTTCCGTTTTGGAGGGGGTCATCCCCTCCATAAGGTCCAATCCACGATTCTCCTCATCCTGCTCAAAGTCTTGGGCATTCGTTTAGTGTTTTTTGGACCATAGGTCTCATACAAAATTGTCCTTAATGTTCCTTTGCTTCCCAGAAGCGCTTGCTCTCCCAGGCTCCACTTCCAGATGCCGTCCGTGGTTGTCCTTCCTACCGTGTAGTGGCCCCTTGCCGTGTCGATCCTTTGTTCCTTTATGGTGCATCTGTAAGTTCTTGAGCAGCCCTACTCTCTGGGTTTCTTGCTCAATCATGGCCCTGGTGCAGTTCTCCCAATGACATTTTCCTTCTGCCGTGCCACTTTCACACGGTGGGTTGTTCCCTTCCTGGCGAATCCCAGTCTCTTGTGGGGTCCACACTTTTTCTGGGTGGTGTTCCTGAGGATGTCTCTCTTGAGTTGTGCCACTGTTGTGCGATGAGGCATCCTTGTGTCGTTTCTCTTCTGCTTTTGCCGTGCCACTCTTGCATGGTACCTCATCCCTCCATGGGCAATGACCAGTCTTTCCTGAGATTCACACCTTTCCCAAGTCGAATTCTTCAGTTTCTGGCGGTTGGGCTCTGTGGCCAGTTTTCGGTCCCTGTGCCTTTTCTTCTTCGGTTCTCCGACCGGCATCACTGTGGCATCTTCTACGGGTACCTCTCGTTGTTCTGCCGCCTCAAGTTTCATGTCCACTGAGGTCGGCTCTTCTTCTTCTGGACATGCCTCCATTTCTTGGCAGGCCATTGTCCGTTCTTCTAGATGCGCCTCCGTCGTTTCTCGACAGGCCATAGTCTTCTGGTCTCATTCCGGTTTGGTTTCGGCCACCATCTCCTTATGGCTGGTGTCCATTATTTTCATCATTTCCTTCAGTTCTCTTCACTTGGCCTGTCTGTCAGCCTCCAATCTGGACAAGAACTTAGCTTTGTTGGTTCTAATTTCTTCTTTGTCTTTCTTCCTATTGGCCTCTGTCTTAGCTTGGTTCGTTCTCATTTCTTCTTCGACAGCTCTGATTTCCTTCAACAGCAGTTCCATCATCTGCTGTGAGTCCATCTATGTCTTTCCCTATACTCTTAGTCCAATTTTATGTCTTAGATTGAGGTGTGTTCAAGTTCGTAAACCAATTCTGACACCAAATTGTCACATGTTGGTTGTGTCACATGACAGATGACTTCATGCCGTATTGGATATAGCGAATTTATTCCACGTTCGCTATTACATTTACACAATTCACAGTTTCACAATTACTGCCATCTGCAGTTTCACAAATACTTCTCCTGTAGTCATTTCCATTCACTCGATACAGCTCAACTCGACAACTGCTAGACTGCAACTCTCCCTCACTGATGAATACTCCTGTTATGTAGCTTCCGCACTGACAACACAGAAAACGGTTACGTGATAGTGAGCCATGTCCCCCGTCTATACGGGTAAGGGACAGGCTGGTAAGAAATGACTTGCTTGTTGGCGTGGTGCAGTATGCCTCCCTAAGATTGGGTAAGGGATCTTGGTAGAGGAAAACCCAGGTCAGTACGACAGGCCAAGTTGGGTGGATCAACTAGGCAGGAGCTAGTATGGAACATATGGAAACACAGTGTACATATACTCA